ACTATCCAAAGAATCCACCACCAAATAAGCCGCCACCCCCACCACTGCTAGCCGATGCACTGGCCGTGCCGCTGCCGCTACTGCTCGCGAACGCCGTATCTGTAAAAGATCACATAAAGAAACATGTCCAAAACACTGTATAATTTGTTTTGTTTAAAACAATATTCTTCGTAGAAAGATTGTGTTTAGAGTTTCACACACCACTCATACTATACACTCACTCAAATTATTTCCATAGAAGGGATAACCTCCAGAATAAGGATAACCACCACCGCCACAATTGTAACATGGGTAGCCGCCGCCATAGTAATAGGGATATGGCTGATAGCCGGGATAGCTACCATAAGCGCCGAGTCGATTACCATATCCAAGAAGGCCATAACTACCTGCACCACCAAGGACACCAGGGTAGTAACCATATTGAGCGTTCAATTGACCTAGCGCGCAGAAAAGAAGCACGAGGGTAAAGGAGGCAGATGCGAGCGTGTGACGCATTGTGGTTGTCAGAAGAGTACTCAGAATGCACGAAATTTAAAAACGAATTAAAAAATTGGATCGCCCGGATGATCGTTTATAAGACTTGTTCTAAGCAAAAAGAAAAGTACTCAGGATTCACGAAATTCAAAAGAATTCAAATAATAGCCATTAATTTTGATTGTAAATTTAAAGTAATTCAAATACTTTTCAGCCAACTTTTTCACATTCGCACGATTTGGTGACTGAGCTTGTATTTGGGATTATACTTTATTTTTATATCCAAAAATATCCGAGTGTCAGAAATGCGGGAAAAAAATGTAATTACCAACAATTAAAAATCGTATTACATTGCATACTAATTTTGAACTAATGAGCCTTTGTAGCATTGAACATTTAGTTGAAGCTTTAGCGTCTAGTTTGTTTTCATTCATTGCGTCATACATATGTATTTATTAGATATTTTAAATTACTTCTAATTTGAGTTAAGTTTAATTGTATTCTTTTGTTTTTTGAGTACGGATTTGTTTTTCTCATTAGTTCTCCCCATTTATGTAAATATTTTTATTTTTTTCGAACTATTTGTGTTTTACTTCTTTTATATTCACCACTGAATTTTCCAAAAATAGTTTGCTAATTAGTAATCACTGTTCGTTTCCGACCATTTAAGGTCAATGAATTCGGTTCAACTGAATGTTTTTTTTTAACGAACGTGGTACCATCGGTTTATGATTATTACTATACCTGAAATTAGTAGTATCGGCTTTGCATTTGGCCTTACAAATCTTCCTACAGGACTTCCAGAGAATAATCAGTGGATCCGTTAGTACACTCACGTAATTTGTACGCTTTAATAAACTTTGTTTGACGAGTGTAGGCCTAATCCATAGATGTTCAGGTTAGTCCGCTTAATATTCAATTACACTGCGAGACAAATGGTAGGGGTCAGTGATCGGGAAGGGTTCAAACTACCGGGGAAAGTTATATCGGTAAAAAAGAAGTTATACGTGTCCCGGCGTTTCGCTGGGTCACGTCTAGGAATCGAGATATATATATAACTATCACATAGGGGAAATTGTCACCTTTGGTGGTCTTTTTTTGACATAACTAGTCCGATTTTGTACAAACAAATTAAAAAAAATTAAAAATTACAATTCCTTTAAGCTGTTCATATAACGTTTTTCTATATAATCAGCCGGTAAAAATAAATGTATGAAGAAAAAAAATATTTTTTGCCTAAAATATTAAATTTTTTTAAAACTGTTGATTATATAGAAAAACGTTATATGAACAGATTAAAGGAATTGTAATTTTTAATTTTTTTTTAATTTGTTTGAGCAAAATCGGACCAGTGGTTCTCGAGTTATGTCAAAAAAAGACCACCAAAGGTGACAATTTCCCCTATATGATAGTTATATATATATCTCGATTCCTAGACGTGACCCAGCGAAACGCCGAGACACGTATAACTTGTTTTTGACCGATATAACATTTCCCGTTGGTTTCATCCCATCCCGATTTTGACTGTCGCAAAGTGTTATTATTTATTGAGTTTTTTTTTTTGCTAAAAAAATAACCTTGGATATTATTTTGGTCGGAAAATAATCGCAATTTTTTGAGTTTTATTTTTTGCTTAGAAAATTAAAGTTATTCTTTTCTTTCGAAAAGAAAACTTATTTTTTGGATTTTTTTTTGCTTGGAAAGTAAAAGTAGCATCTGATGGTTTTTTAAGATGCGTTAGCGAACGGCCTGCAAATGATCACGATCCTGACGTGATGGAGGCTAACAGACCTTGGGATCGCATTCATCGTGTCGATTAACATTGGGATGTTGTTGTTGTTGTAGCGGCTACAACAACCCCGCTCAAATCGGTTAATATCTTAGTCGTTGACGTAAAGTTCCACTAACGGCAGCCCTAAGAAACGTGCAACCTCAATAGGGTCGGTCCACAAGGACAAACGCTTTAGGGTTGTCGGGTTTTCCGGGCATAAGAAGAGTCTGCTCAGGTATTAGTTTAACCTGCTGCAGTAGCCACAGCGAAGTTGGGCTATTGTGGTTCTAGTCTCCCGAGGCAGATGGTTGTGTGTCCGGTGGTTGTGCGCCTAGAACGGCATTCACAGGGCTGTAGTCTACATAACTCGAGACTGACTCCCTGTGAATGCCGTTCAGGGCCTGTCGAAAAGCTGACGGGACCAGAGGTTGTTAAATGAACATCTGGACTTCGTCCGTCAGTTCGTAGAGATGCCTCCTGACGTGCCTGGGCGAGGGCTCTTCTGCAAGCAGTTGCCCATTTGGGTGACCACGTCTATGGCTCTCAACAAGGAACTGCTTGCAGAGCATTATATTCTGCTCCTTGATCGGGAGCAATTTCGCCTCGTCGTGTAGGTGGTGTTCAGGCGACATCAGAAGGCATCCAGTCGCTGTCGTAGTGCGGTGTAGGACTCAGCTCCTTAAGTAATAATATTTTATACTCGGTAAGGTTTTTGAGAAAGCGCATTATCCAATAAATCGCTATCATTAACTTTTCTGGGTCAACACCAGCAGCGGCGGTGGCACCAACGATATACAAAAAATTCGCTTTTCTCCGATAACAATAACTTTTATTATTGCTGCTACGTATTAAGCTCACGTTGCTGCTCGCCGACATGCAATTGTCATTACCGTGTATAGCCATTGGCGTTTTTGGTGGTCATCATTTAAATCGTCCCTGGCTAGATGCATGCAAATAAATATACATATGTATATACGAACATACACACAAACATATGCAGACGTCAAGCTATACCATAAATTTGTTATTGTGTGCCATTAAAATGATGGCTGCATGCTGATTTCCATAGGCAATGACAACACCAAGTGGCGAGGAAAAGCAACGCAGCAGTGAAATGAATGCGAAGCATGAACCAACAGGCAGACACAGTTCGCGGATTATGTGTGCAGTTCTCAAGCTTCGTTGCAGAAGTAGAAATCAATTTGATTAATTGAAATCATGCAAAACTCATAATAATTATAATTTTGAATTTTATTATAAAATGTTGTAATCAGGGATATCACAGAGTCCGTCGGAGTCCGATTTTTCGTGAATTCTACGTAAATCTGTCATGGAATTCGAATAGCTACGAACGTAGCGTATACTTTGAATACACACGATCGTAGCGATTCGGCTTCAGTGATCGCATTTTCGTCGATTTCACGAAAAATCGGACTACGATGAATTCTGTTATAGCCACCAATACTAGGGCTTAGTACATACATATTATCTACCATAATGTTCAAATAAAAACAAAAGCGGTAAATTATACAGTTGATTCTTTAACTCTTTGACTCCAATGTTTCATAACATTTGTATTCATTCAGAAGACATCTATCTAGTCAACAGTGTAACTAGAACTCAGTAATCTTAATTAAATTATACCCTTATACCCCTTTTCGTGCCCTCGTCTACAATATTTGCCACCGAAGAAGAGTAAGGCGTCTTTGAAAGTTCTACTGGTTTTTTTACTTGTCTTTCGACCCTTCTCTCTGGATCATGGTCCTCAACGACGTCCTGGTGGATGCTGTCGGGTTATTGCCTGCGCCGACAACGTGTTACTTATCGCTTCTGATAAGCTTGTGCATTCTCTCTTGTAGGTCACAAATGGTTGCTAGTTGCAGACTTGCTATTAGTAATATGTTACCCGTACTGACAGCATTAAGTACCTGGAAGTGATGGTGGACAGTCAGAAGCCAAATATTGAGTACCGAGTAAAAGTGCACCAGTTGTCCTATTATACTGCTGCAAAATCGCCATTGGAAAGAAGTAGCTTAAATAACTAAATAATTACAAATGTAAGTTAGAATATTATATAGTATGTAATTACGAATTAGTTTTATTCTGTAATAAAATCTAAAATACATATCTTCCCTTGGACAAGTTCGTTGGTTCTAATAGTAAATAAACAAATATGTAAATAAATTCACTCGAAAGTTTTCAAGTGCTAAAAAATACATTTGACTATGTACATCTCTCTCTCATCTTAGCAGTATGTTCAAAATACTATTGCAAATGTGTTTTAATTAATTTATGTTGTGTGCGTTGAACAATAACATGAAGAAAAAAAGTTGCTAAAGAAAACGCATAATACAGCTACTTAAGCGGAAGCACCAGTAGCTTTAACTCAGCGGCAGCACTACATATCGTTTGGATCCTTCCAGCCATATTTCTGCTTCTTGCCCTGCTTATAATACTTATCACCATTTCCGTTCTTATATCCGTTGTAGCCACGCCCATCCTCTTTCGATTGCTTCGGCGGCGCGCAGTAACATGTACGCTTTTGCGAATCCAAATATGATTTACAACCTAGCGTTAAGGTACCAGTGAATAGCACTTTGGCAGCAGCTTTACAGCTGGTTATGAGATATTCACTGCCAACGGATTTATCAATGGTGTCGCAATACTTGTAAAGACAGCGCTTGAAATCCAAATCACATAGCTCCTTGTTGCTGTTACATGTGTCATAGCAAATATCGTGCTCATTACAGCAGTTCTCCATTTCTACCGCGGGCAAGTATTCGGTGTTGATGCGTAGACCTAGCGAGCCACAGCCATCGGCTGTGGGGGTGTAAAGTTTATTCTGGACGGGACGTACATCTGAAAAAGACGGAAAATAATTTAATCTGCCTTTAAAGAGTGTATTCAAAGTTGACGAGGTGTACTTTATAGGGCATTCGCACGAGGCGATTTTTCAGGCAACTTTTAGTTGAAAGCAAAAATCGCCTCGTCCGAACGGCCTTTCAACTAATCGCTTTCAACAAAGTTGGTCGCCAGCCAACTTTGAGCTCGTTCAACTTTTTTTCCTTGCAACCCTGTGTTTGTTTACATTCTGTATCAGTGTTGGGAAATGAAATTGTTCCTTCAGTACGAAATCTATACAAAAAATGTACTTTTCGGCTATAAATTGTATACACTTTTTAATTCGCTCATATATTTTCTTAGTACATTCCCTTCAAGACCAATGATTTTATGGTATTCATGAGAAAGTTTTATTGTTTATGTACATACGTTTACGTATTTTACACTTTTAAAAATTGATTCCACGTGCACATGTATTGCATTTGACGCAAATATGTATGCACACATTTCCAGGTATACATCTTAACAAAAAGCATATTTAAGTTATTATTAATGGATAAAAGAGACATTTTCTTTGGATTCAGTACTAAAATTTGACATTTTAATAGAATTTCAAGTGCTTATCAAAACTTTACGAGAAGATTTAACCATTTATCTTAATATTATTCAATTTTAATTATTTTTTGTAAAAACACGCTTTATATTTTAAGAAAAGCCGTACAAATCCAAGGTTCAAACTTTGTGCAACATTAAAAAAACCAACACACTTTCGTAAAAATTTCGATCTATTTAATTCGATTTCCTAGATTTATTTTGAGTGTGTGGTTTTTTAGCCCATTAAATTTTAATATAACTAAGTTTTTTAAGATTTCTTTGATGAAGGTGTTGCTAATTTCCTCCATATAAAAAAATCGTCGAACACACTTCGTATGGAAGAAAATGGCTGACATCGTCGACAAAACAAAATTGCCAAGTTCAACGGTAAGTCCCAGCTACTTTAAACTTGCACTTTATTATACTAAAATTGAATGGGCTAAAAACTAAAGAATATTAATAAAGCTCGAAATTTTTACGACAGTATGTTGGTTTTTGGATGTTTCGCAAAGATTTAATCTTGGGTTTATACAGCTTTTCTTAAAGAATACATTATAGTTTATGAACAGATAATTAAAGTTAAAGAATAATAAAATAAATAGTAAAACCTTGTCAATATGTGAATGCCGTAAAGGTATTATATTTAAGAAAATCTCTTCTTATAACTAACGAAGACTTTGTTTCTATATGAAGCTGACTTTGACATTTTGTTTTAATAAAACTTAGTATCGAAAAGTTTCTTTAAAAATTTGCCTAGGCTATGTTATACTGGTTCGTTAAAGCCATTTTTCAAAACTTACAAAGGTAAATACGAACAGGCGAACTGTGAATTTTCAGAGCTATATATTTTTAGTATTCATTACAATATTTTACTAAAAAGTACTGCGTAGTAGGAAAGTATATTGTAAATGAAATTGTATCAAACAAGTACAATTGTACCAAAAATGCTTAGATACTAAATTTTAAACGTAACAGGTTCTTTAAACGTGTTGGCATGGTGCCATCTGCTGACGAGTAGCTGAATCAGCATATGCAAATATTCTTCAGCGGTTTATTATAATCGATTTGTACAAAGGTGAGCTGCCTTCACTGGATTGGTACACGTGTACCGGAAGGAGATGATGTAGGTAATTTATAAATTTAGATTGCAGATAAATTGACTTATAACAATTAGTTGCGTTCCAGCAGCAGTACGAATAGCAGGAATTTACAG